GCAGACTAAGGTGTTCCACAACTCATCAATAAAGATCATTTGGATACAGATGTACGAGATCTTTAACTTTAGATTTTAGACTGTTAGTTAAGTCCGAGTAAATTTCAGGTATAGATTAGATGAAGAAAAATAATCTACATTGCTGTTCCAGAGCTTGAAATCTCTCTGTATTGATGGATGAAGGTAAGATAATAAAAAATTTTCACTTCTTTATTGGATGTTTTCAATTTTTTATTCAGAATATTGATAATTTTTTTTCTGTCATCTGATGATGTCCCATAAACGTACTGCCTGGGGAAAACCGATCCGGATTCCTTACCCTCTGTGCACCCCTGTTTTCACGTATGTACTTTTTATGTTTGAATTTTGTAAATGAATGGCAAAAAAAAAAAGAAGTTATTTTGTTATGCTGTTTGAAAATCACAAATTAGTAAAAAAAAAATTTATTAACTAGCTACTTTTTTGTATAGTTATATTATTTTATTGCAACACTACGATTCCCCTTGAACAATTTGTATTTTATTTTTGGAAAAGTATTAACGTTTGCAGCATTACAATTCCCTTGGACATTATTTACGCATGAAGAAGTTTATGAATGAAAGTATATACCGTAGCGTGGGGTAATTGAGCACCTTTTTTAAAGCTTTTTTCAAAATAAAAAAAAACTTGTAGATAATTTTAAAAAGTGAAATATGTTTATTTAGTACTACTCTAAATCTTCTTTAGAGAAATGTTGGGTTTAGGAAAAAATAAAAAGTGAAGAATTTATGTTACAAAATATACGGCTGCGCATTTATCCCACGATTTGGGGTAAACGAGCATCTTATTATTTTTTTTATAAAATGATCGAATTTAAATATACTTATTTGTGAGTGTGTATATATATATATATATATATATATATATATATATATATATATATATATATATATATATACACACACACATACACACACATACATATTTGATATATATATATATATATATATATATATATATATATATATATATATATATATATATACATATATATATATATATATATATATATATAAATATATATATATATATACATATATATATATATATATATATATATATATATATATATATATATATATATATATATATATATATATATATATATATATATATACATATATAAATATATATATATATATATATATATATATATATATATATATATATATATATATATATATGTATATTTATATATGTATATATATATATATATATATATATATATATACAGAGCTGAATTAACCAATAGGCTAATACCAAATAAAATTGTAAATCAAATTATCAGTAGGCCAGACTTGGTGGTGGCCTGGGCCCCAAAGATCCCCAAAAATTGGATCCCCAAAAATCTTATTACTTTTTAATTTGATTAACATTTAGACAAGTTACGTTATGAATAAATCTATAATGCAAAAAATTGTAATTATCGTTCTACTTTATTATTGCATTTAAACATACTTAAAATAGTTCTGTTTAATAGATATTGTATATATGTATAATATATACATATATATATATTATATATATATATATATATATATATATATATATATATATATATATATATATATATATATATATATATATATATATATATATATACATACATATATATATATATATATATATATATATATATATATATATATATATATATATATATTTATATATATATATATATATATATATATATATATATATATATATATATATATATATATATATATATATATTATATAAAAAGTTTGATTATTTGAAAAAATACAACTTTGTGATGGAACTTAAAGTTTCATGCCCTTTGGCAATCATCAGCCATATTTTATTCCTATATATATATCAGCCATATTTTATTCTATATATATATATATATATATATATATATATATATATATATATATATATATATATATATATATATATATATATATATATATATATATATATATATATATATATATATATATATATATATATATATATATGTATGTGTATATATATATACACACACACACATATATATATAATAAACAAATAAACAAGGCCAAATATATAATTCATTTGAACTAAGATAACAGTATATAAAAAACATATAAATACATGAAAAACACACTAATATAGTATTAACGCATATATAAGTCACTAATAGTTTCTTTCAAAAAATGATATATTGTTTTTTTCATATAGGGAACAAGGAAGCTGTTTTATAATTGACTTTCTTTCTGTAACAAAGTAATCAGGAACTTGTGCTTCTTTGAAGGAGATGATTCTTGGGTTTGAAGCATCCTCTAAAGCATCCTCTAAAGTACTTGATATTTCAATTTTTATCTTTTCCTATATTTACAAATTAGCCTACAAAATGATATGGTGCCTTTTTTCCTTCAAACTGTACAACAACATAACAACCCTCTGCTAATAAATATTCAGAGGTTGCAACTACCTCAGGATTACATATTCCTTTAGAGCAAATACAATCTAATTTATAAATGCTTTCATTTGAGTAGTTTTTAAACTTATTTTGCACGTGTGCTTGTTTTTGATGGAAAAGTGAATCTTCAAGGTCATAATCATTATCGTATGAATCACTTTTTTCAATAAAAAAATCCTTTTTTTTAAGGTTTTACTTTTTTCTTTCTGTATACAATCAGATTTTTTATCAGAAGCTTCTTGTAGCTCAATATCTTGGAGCTTGAAAGCATATCATATTCAATAATTTCTTTAAAAGTATTCAAATTTAATTTAGAATTTCTTTCTATATTTAAGGATTCATTAAGTTGGGTATTTTTAATTTCGATTAGCTTTTGTTTTGATTTGGATTTAGAAGTAGAAGGTTCTATTTCAACATCTTTCAGAAAAACACTTTTTTCTGGTGAAACCTTAACTATTTTCCCACGCATTATTGCCCCAGGCTTTTTAGCAGAAGTTTCTCGAAGTTCTGCAAGAAGTTTAATAACTAATGGGGATACTAAGTTCTGAGAAGATTTAGATACGTCTGTCCATAAAATTTTCTCAATAATATTTTTTTTTTGTTTAGTGGGTAGATACCAGATGTTTCGAATCCATTTACAGCGAACTCTCGTATGTGATTCATATTAGTCAAGGTATTAAGGAGCAACCTTGGGAAAACATTTTTTCGGTAGGGATGTGTAAAATCTTCCTTCACCAATTTTCCATTCAGTAATTACTTTTCTCCATGCTGATTTCATGGGTCCATAAACTGCAAGGTCAAGAGGCTGTAGTAAATGTGTACTATTAGGAGGTAAGAAGACCATCCTAATGTTGTTAGCTTTGCAAACTTCAATAATATCAATAGATGAATGGCATGCTAGATTATCACCTATAAGAAGTTTTGGTGTGTTGTTATCAACATGTCTGAAGTAAGGTATTACTAATGTTTGCATCCAATCTTTAAAACAATAGCCATCAAACCAACCAGATTTTGTACGGTTATAACGTGCATCAATTGGACCTCCAAGTATCTAAGTGTCCATCAGACGCTCAGCTTTATACACTGTATATGGAGGAAGAAAAACACCATCAGCAGTACATGCAAACATCATAGACACTGATGACTTTGATGTATTTATAACTCTTTAAGCATGTTTAGTACCTTTCCGAAATATCATTTGTTTTGATTTTGTGTCATCAGAAAGATTAGTTTCATCATAGTTTATTATGTTTTGAGGTAAAACATTTTTTATTGTATCTTCTAGGATGTTAAAAAATCTGTCTACAGAGTCACATGAAATTGCAGCACGCTTTCTACAAATATTTTGACATGCTCGATAAGACAAAAGGCTTTCATGCCGCTCTAAAAATGATCTTACCCAATCATCAACAGGCAAATTTTCTTTAAAATACGGACAGTCTCTTCCAGATTTGTTAAGAAAACTTTGTACAAATAATTGGAAGTCTATTTTATCAAATGCATACCCAAAATCACTAAAAGTTGCAATGTATTGTGTAATCATCTGGTAGCAAAGAACTCTTTCGACCAACCACACTACTTTTGCGTAAACCACTAATATGAAACCTTAAAGTTCTGTGTTGTATGTTTAGCAGCTTTGCCACACGTTTACAAGGTTCTCCACCATTAACAAGTTCGATAGTTCTTTTAAGTTCACATTCTGAGTAAGCTTTTGACTGTTTTTGAGTTGATTTTAAATAGTTTCTCACCATTTCCACAAATCTGTTATAAAAAAGTGAAGAATATAACCTAAAAACTCAAATTATTTGTATCTTTAAATATTAATTTTATTATCAAAAATATCACAAGAATAAAAACCAGTAAATTCAAAAGGTGCTAATTTACCCATGTAAAAGTGCTCAATTACCCCACCTTACTTTAAACACCTATATTTTATGAACAATTCATTTATAAGACTTGAAAACTTGTACGAATTTACTTAAATATATGTAAGGTATATTGGAGAAAAATTCAAAATTCTAAGAAAGTTTTAACTACAAATGCTTACCCTTAGTGTTTCCAGTTGATAGTTTTTACGGAATTCAATGAATCTACACCGTGATATAGTTACTTATTATCGGTTATTTATTTTTTTTCTAAAAGAGCTATAATTAACAACTTATATTTTCCTTAATTTACTTTATGTATTTTTAACTTGAAAATGAACACACATTAATACTAAATGTTTTATTTGTCTTCTAAACTGAATATGTTAACGGGTGCGCGATTACCCCATGAAGTGCTCGATTACCCAACGCTACGGTTACAGCTGTAGCGTTAACATAAAGTTTTCAAGTTAACAATACAGCTATTATAGCGTTAGTTTAAAGTTTTTATAATAATAGTTTATATTTAAGAAACAATAAATTTTTTAGCATTATAAAAGTTATACATTTAATTATAGTATTTAATATATCTACTTATATTGATAAGTATTATACAAACTAGCAGTAAGCAACCCGTAATACGGGTTATTAGTAATTAAATAATTGCTTACAGTTAACAACAAAAAAGACTACGTTAACATCAGTTAAGTTCTTTTTAAAATCTGTTACAACACAGCAGATACCATAAAATGAAAGTCAAGTAAAGCCTTCCAATGCCTAAAAAAAGGAACGAAAAATAATTACAATTTTTAATTACAAAATATTATTTGAATTTTATTGTTGGTAGAATGAAGATATAAAGACTTAAAAAAATTGCTGTAATAGCCCAGCTTTATCAACACAAAACACATTAACAATAGCACATAGCATAAGAAATTTGTAAGCACACATTACTATGTCTCTCCAAAATGATTAAAAAAGAAAAGATTATATAAAGGCTCGACAACTTAACGTAGTAAATAACGTAATAACGTATAACACCACAAATTAAGATATTTTATCAACTAAAATGCTTGAGCTAAAAAGATTTAATTGATTACAATATTGAACAATTTTATCATAAAATACCAAGCAGCTCATAAAATTTTTTATATACATGGTCATTATCAATTGTGGCATTAATAAAACTTAAATAATTACTTTTTTTTTTAACTAAAAAGTAATTATATAAGTTTTATTGATGCTCCATGTACTAATTCTCTTTTAACTCTTATCTAAGAGTAAACAAAATTATTTTTACCTTTATTATGTAAAGTTCCAACTTCTCTTTAACTGTCAACTAATGAAGAATAGAGTAAATTTCATATTGAATTTATAAAAAAATTTAAAATCATTTAAATTTAAAACTATTTGATTTAAATTGTTTCAAAGTGTTTAAAATAAAATCAAATAAACACACATTAACACGGCTTGACAATGAATTCTGGCAAGTAAGTTTTCTGCTCGCCGAGCAGCATTTCTTATATTTCAACAACTTTTTTTTTTATTTTATTTTAGGTGCTCCAAGAAGTCCTCAAGGTTTTATCACAGAGCACCGTGGATAAGCATTTAATAGGAAGTTCACGCCTCCTTATCCCTGTAAATAAATTTTTATCTTTATTTTTCGATAAAAGTTGTCTATCAAAAATAAAAATAAAAATTTATTTACATCAATAAATTGTAATTTAACAAAGAATCTAGAAAAAACCTATTAAACCTATTAAATCTAATGAAAATATTAAATAAAAAAATATAGCAAACCTACTAAAATCAGTACCAGTTCTACTGCCTTAAAACTTTTATTATTAACCCTTCTAGTAGTAATCAAAAAATAAAAACAAAGTGATCTGAAGTTACTAAAAATCACTTCACCTATTTTTTTTGTTTAGGTTAATTGTCCAACTAAAAGTCTATAACTATAATACTGAGATAATGTAACATGATTTCTAATCAATGCAGCACGTTCAGGGTTGTGAACTAATTGATTATGCCAACCAGCATCACCCCTTAGAAAAAATAGAGAACAAACCATAGGCTCTAATTTGGCAGACATACTTGATATATTTTAAGAGGATGACCTCTTGGGAAAATAACAACTTCAGTGAAAGTAGGTGGAGCACGATCTTCACCAAAAAATACAACTGCAACTTCATTATGTGAAGGGAGATTATAGTGACGTCTATCGCGCCCTTTTTTCTCCCTATTTCAGTTCAAAGTATTTGCTGCTTGCCGAGCAGGATATCTAGCATTTTGTTGATTATTAATTTCATCCCGCCTCAGCCTATTTCTTGCATTTCTGCGGCGACTATTTTCAACTTGTCTAATCACACTGTCCTCATTTTAATTCAAATTATTTACGGCTTGCCGTGCAGCATATCTAGCTTATTAATTTCATCTCGCCTCAGCCAATTTCTTGCATTTCTGCGACGATTATTTTCAACTTGCTTATTAACATTTCCATCATTTTCTAAACTTAAAGCCACTTCTAGCCTTATATCATCCATTTAAACTTCACTTTTAATTGATAGTAGTAATAAAAAATCTGGAAAGAATCTTGAAGATTGTGATTTTTTTTTTAACTTCTCTAAATTGCGCACTCACAAAGAATAATTTTTAAAACATTACATAGGAAATTTTCATTTAAAATAAACCAAATTATACAACAATATTGTGAGTTTTTAATAAAAACATTTTTATAAATATATCCGTTAAAAGATGTTTAAACAAAAATTAAACTTATAAATATAATGTAAATAAAAAAATTAACCAATAGTAATAAAAAAATAATAATAGTAATAAAAATTTTAATGATAAAGGGTACTGTTAATACAAAAAAAAGACAAAAAATAAAAAGTAAAGTATTTGTAAACCCCTTTTAGTAAACTTTAATATTATTTCTATAAAAAAATTGTATAAAAAACATGCAAATAATTTAACCTTTACAAACAATGACTGTTCAAAAGTTGTTGCTTAATTCATTTTTCTAAATTCTAAAGAAAAGAAAAAAATTTAACAGCATCACTGAAATGCCAATAATAAGCAACATGACAAAGTTTATCAAAGATTAATTATCTGTTTTTTTTATTACTTAATCTTTTTTCCAATATTTTATATTATTTATTACACATTAAAATCAAAAGATCAAATTTATTAAAGCTTTACATAAATTAAAGGCAGCTATAAACACTAAATTATTAATTTCAAAACAATCAAAAGAAATAAAGTCTGCTGGAAATCAACAAATTAGTTTAAAATTATAACTTAAAAATATTACAAATTTAAATGTGATTTTTGTTATAGTTAATAAATTGCTGCAGTACATTTGTTTTTAAAACTGATTAACTAATATGGTATATATTCAAAGCAATATAATAGCCATGTTATATTGTGAATCAAAAATTAAAGTAATAAAAACTATAAATAATAATCTAAACAAATACTAAAAAAATAAAAATAAGCATAATTTAGAATATATATATTTTTTTAATGAAAATAAAAACCAAGGAAAAAAAAGCAACAAAAAAATATCTTCACTGATTGAAGATATTAAAAAATTTTTTGTTGCTATTTTTTACTTGGTGCCTCCCAGCACCCCTGTATTGATGAGCCCTCCATTTGAAAGAGGGCTTATCCATACCATTATTACTGCAACATTTGTTAAAGGACCTCTCAGAGAGTGGCCCTGGGTGCTAGGAGCAATATAGTCTGTAGCTGCTCCAATTTAGATCTAAAGAAAAAATAATAATATAATAAAAAATATATATTTCCATTAAAAATAATAAAATAAAAACTCCTAATATAGAAAAAGTTTAAAAAAAAACCCTTTAAGCAAACTTCAATATCATTTATTTGAAAAAAATATTAGTTTAAATTTTTAAAAAATTCACAAAACTTAACAATATTTGTTCTTCTATACCACATAAATACATCATTTGATAAATAAAAAATGTAACAAATAAGTAAATAAGAAAAAAATTACATACAAAAAAAAGAAATCATTGTACCTGATAAAGCTGATGTGATTTACCAGAGTAGTAGTAGTAGACTTTTAGTGAATCTAAATATTAATTTTAGTGAATGATTAAATGCAGTGAGGTCTAATAATGAAATTAACTATGTATCATTTTTAAAAGTAGATAACAACTTGAAGGTAAACCAAATGTATATCAACTCAAAAGATTACAAAAAAACAACATCACAACAACAATAGCATTCACCATAAGTTCATATAATATGCATATAACATAACTTAAGAAACAAACATTCATATATAACAGAACATCAGTAACAACATTGCGCAAAATGTTTTTAAAATACATTATGTATTTTCAGAGTAATTATTATTAAAGGCTTGAAAACACCTAGACCTAAAGCAGTAACAGTTTGACACGAAACACTGCTTTGTAATCCTTCGCAGTAAGTGACTTGGCTGGCAAGGTTGACAAATCTTGCTTTACACGTTTACCAATTCACAGCACTTTGAAAACATGGAAATACCATAATATATATATACATATATATATATATATATATATATATATATATATATATATATATATATATATATATATATATATATATATATATATATATATATATATATATATATATATATATATATATTTACCCTTATATAAACATATTTAAACATATTTAAACACATTTATAAAACAATTATATAACTTATATTAACACATACACAAACAATAAAAAAAATATGTTACATTATTATTAAAACACATTGATAAAAAAGCTAAAAGCACATTTTACAATATACACATAATTATCAAAAAAACAATGCAAACAATAAACATATAACTTGAATTGTGCAAACAAAAATTTTAAAAATGGTTTGAGAAAGTTTTAAAAGATTCAAAGTAAACAAAATATTTATATACAAACAATACTCGTTACCTTTTTTTCATAAGAACTGTAATTCTCATAACAAAAATTTAATCTTTACATACAATAACATGCGACATGTCAGTGTTGGCACGAAATTTTAATTTATTTTTCTAAATTTTCTAAAAATGAGCAAAAACAGTTAATAGCATCACAGATATTTCATGGTAGTAATAAACAATTTTATTGAAATAGCATTAGCATAACTTTTTTGTTGCATAAAAAATAAATAGACCTCATCCATACCTCTATCTTCCTTCTAAAAAATAGAAGAAATGCTCAATAAAAATAAAACTGCTAGAAAAAATAAAGCCAAAACAAAATTTAAAACAAACAAAATGTAAATGATTTACAAAAATAAAAGGAGTGATCCTTTCTATTTTATTTCTAATAAAAATATTACATATAAATTGCTAAACTAATTTCTACACTTACTTCAATTATAATATGACCTTAACGATGATTATTTATCTTAATATGATTCTTTAAGTAAACAAAATCAAATGCAGTTTCAAATTTATATATATAAACCTCTACAATTTCATCTGTTCAACAACTGAATTATGATTCATCACAACTCTAAAAAATTTTCCTTTAGTTTAAGTCTAAATAAATAAACAAATTATATTAGAAATGGTAGGAAATGCTTACTGCTAGCAATTTTAGCATCTAAATAACTAAACAAAATAAACATAAATAAAAATGTAAGCAAATGTTTGCTGCAAATATTAAGAGATAAATAAACAAACATTCAATATCAAATTGATATTTATGAAAAAAATTCATTTTTATCCTGTAAGTTACATTAAATAAAATATTTATTGAAAAGCCATTAAAGTTTGCGTGAAACCAAACTCAATAAATAAAACAAATTGTAAATAAAAATAAAAAATCGTTAGGGCATCAACACACAACAAATCTGATACAAAGGTTTAAAAAATAAATACAGCTCCATATTAAATATAAAAGCTTGCCTCGTGTAATTTCAAAAGTAGATTGGAAACTGTTTGCATTAAAGTATTTTATAGAATACAGAACCGTTACTAATATCGAACAATAGTAACTAACGGCATTGAACATTGAACATTGACTTCTAGCAATTATATTATAGATAAGTAAATAATTTTATTTGCGTTATATATATTTTTTTTACTGTATATACTAAACCAATAAAAAACAAGTACAAAAAAAACATGCCAAAACAAAGCTCTTCTCTCTGGAAGTATTTCACAAAATCATACATTTCAGCTAGTGAAGCAAAATGTACCCTGTGCAATTCTTTCATAAAATGCAAAGGTTCGAGCACATCTGTTCTGATTACCCACATGAGAACTATCCATAGTATAAAATTAAAAAGAAAGAAGTTAGATGATATATCTGTTGCAGAAGTTCCGAAAAAACAAATAAAAGTTGACGGATTTTTTAAACGTGAAACCATGGCTGAAATGCTAGCACAATGTGCAGCAAAGGATGGCGTGTCTTTAAAAACAATTACGAAATTTGATGCAATACGTGACTTTATTCAGAAACGTGGTTTCCAAATACCAAAAAGTCAAACCACAATCGCAAAACTAATGTTGTCGTTTTTGAGCTAAAAAAACAAGAGCTGCGTAATGAAACTTCTGTTTTGAAAAAATTTGGTAAATAGTTCAGCATAAAAGTTAATAAATGGACTGTCATCTCCATTAAAAAATATATAAATGTAGCTCTTCACAATAAAGTTGCTTATAAATTAAGTCTTGTTAAAATTGATGGTTCCTGTGATGCTTTCACAACCGAAGAATTAGTTAAACAAAAATTGATAGAATTTAGGTTAGACATTTTATAAATAGTTGCGTCTTCTCATGATGGTGCTGCAGCAATGCAAAAATTTGGACGGATAATTCAAGTAGAAAGTCAACTGTGCCAAAATCACGGTATTTATCTGGCCGTAACCAATGTTTTTTACAAAAATTTACGTACCAGCGAACCAAACATGTTCGAGCAACGAATCAAATAAAGAAGATGCCGATAAATATGATAATGCAAGCGATTCTGAAGAACTTTTTTTCAATCTTTATTCTGAAGATGAAAACGATTCAGATTCTGATTATAATGACAATCTTTATGTTAAGAGATTGAATCGCAGCAATATTTTTAATGATTTCATAAAAAAACTGCTCATGGAAGCAGCAACAGAACATTTCGAGATGATATTAAGTCTGTACTGAATAATTCACGTAAACTGATTAAATTTTTTAAATTGTCAAGAGTTCGTAGCTCTAAATCGCAAAAGCATGTTTTCAAACAAGCATTTAAAAAACTGATATTAAAACTCTTTGATTTTCATGATTGAAAGGTTAGTAAATAAGAAACCATGCATTCAAAAAGCAGTTTTGGACATTGGAACAAATAGTTTTTATGAGGAAGTCGATATAAAAGTTTTAGAAGATATTTAAACCATTTGGCTGTTAAGGAACTATGTAAGGATAACTCAACTATTCTGACCAGTGAAAGTGTTCACATGTTTTTGGTCAAAAATCTTTCTGAACAAACGTCTAACTTAAGCGTAGTGATGCTAGATTCCCTCAAAAAGCAATACAATGAATGACGCAACAAAGATTTAGTGTCACTAATGAGATATTTGCAAAATCCTAACTCAAAAACGTCACAAAACAACGATGGCTTTAAATATTCATCAAAGTCAGCAATTATTCAATATGCAAAAAATTTTTAAAAAAATTTTACAAAAGTATTAGATAGTGTCAATGTCGAACCATTGAATGAAGAAGCCAATAATAACCTTAAGACACAGTTACAACAATTTACATGCAAAGATGGTTTTGTTTCAACCCAAGATTAGTTGTTATGATCCATTTCCAGAGATATTAAGGGAGCTTAGGCTGTTTGAAGCAAGTGGAGTTCGAACATCGAATTTAAATAAGGTTAATGCTGCTCTCAAAACAATTTAGCCCACGTCAACATCCAGCAAAAGAACTTTTTCGGTTGCTAGTAAATTTTTAACTAAGCTTCGAAGCCGAATGAAATATGATATATTAAATGCATAAATATTTTCAAAATACTATTTTCTTAAACGCTAAATTATTGAGTTATTACTGCTTGATAAAATATTTTTAACATTTTAATAATTAGTTATTATATATTAAAGAGTAAAATAAGGTAAAATAGAAAAAGAAAAATGTGTTAACTTTTTTTTTTTCTATTTTATTTTTTCTTCTCATAATGTTTTCTAAGAATTAGGCAAAATTTTTAAATGTTTTTTATAAATACTGCGCAATACCGGTATATACCCGTATTGAACTATTTTGAATACCGAAAACCGGTACTTTCCAGTATTTTGGAAACTCTACTTTATTCTCAATTTTTATGTTAAACTAGATAAGAGTTCGTCCTTTAACTAAAAGTTTTTATTCTGCTCCGGATTCTTATCTTTATCTCTATAAATTTTAAACCGTCCTTGTATGGAATACTGTTGTCATATCTGGGGCTGATCTAGCAATGATATCCTTTCTCTTACAGACTAGGAGCAAAAACGTATTGTAAACATAGTTGGACCTTCACTTGTAGCGAACCTCCGACCATTATCGCATCGTTGTAATGTTGCTTCTCTTCCTCTTTTTTTATTTCCAATTTTAACAAAACAGCTTTCCTACTTGTTCCTCTAGTTTCAACTCCACTTTTGAGAGCAGCAAACCAGGTAATATTATTTTCTTCTTTAGTCTGGTTTTAACATAATTATTCCGAATTGGAGAACAAATATAAAAAATTATCCATTGTTTATTTTAAGCTTTAAACAAGTAAATCATTTTTCAAAATTATTTTTCATCTTTACATTTTTTTTTGTGCACATTTTAATAAAATGTTTTACAATACAATAGTTAAAATAAAAAATTGTTACATAATAAAAAGTAAGTTCAAGATGAAAGAACGCGGATACTCGAAGAAGGCCAATCGTGTCTTCTCAACGAGAACCGCTAGTAAACTATAAACCTCGTAAAATTATTATATACAAAACTTAATACATACATAGGCGCATTCAAAGTAGTTTAAAAACATTCAAAATGTTTTTAAACTACTTTGTTTCAAAGAGAACGATATGAAATGCTTGAATTTATTTTAAAATAACTTTTAAAAAATGGTTGCCAAATTAAACTAACGTTTGTTAAGTTGTATTTCTTTTAACAATTAAAAGAGATAACATGAGTAAAACTGTCTTTAAAATTGATAAGACGTTTACCGTTGTAAAGGAGATATTGCGAAAATGTTATACTAATATATAATTATATGACTAACACAAACCACCAATACAGTTATGGTGTAGTAATTAGATTTATATTACTCATTGCTATATGATTTATATTACTCATTGCTATATGGTTTATATTATTCATTGCTATATGATTTATATTAATCATTCTTATATTATTTATTTTAATCGCATTTGATAAAAAAATAAAACAAAAAATTTCAATTGATTTATATTAACTGCAAACTTAATATAAATCATACACAAACAAGATTTGTTCTATTTGTATTAATGAGGTATTTAGAACGGCAAGCAGAAGAATTACACCAAATAATATCTAAAATCGTAGGTAAAAATAAAGTTCTTTAGCATATAGTTCTAGAGGACACTGAATTATTGAAATGAAGACTGCAAAATATTTAGTGAAACAGATTTTTAAATATTAAATTGCAATAAAAATATTAAAACAAATATTTGTAATGAAGTCACTTTACTAGTAACTGTGAAATATGAGCCGCTAGTTAAACATGACAAAAATTTAAGTGCAAATGAACCCATTTATTTGTATGGTATATTCAACCACTTACAAAACATACCGTTTTGACCGTAGTCTTAACTATGGTTGAAAACTCTTTAGGATAAAACCAAATGTAAAACGTGACCTCATACTATTGAAGTAGATTGCTTAAGTTACTCTGCTCTTCACAGTAAAGTTATTTTATGTAAAATATGTGGCAACTCCCACCCTCTCCAACAATGATGTATATTGCAAAAAAGAAACCATAAAAACAAATAAAAAGACAACACAAAATGCAATATCTAAATTAACAAAACTGCCTATTAAAATAAAAAAGTTACAACTCCGCTGTCACGAGGAAGGACAAAGTTACCGAAAACTTTCAACCAGTCCAAAAATAAATTAAAAGCAAAATACAGAAAAGTATATCAACTGAACCGGGCTTCAAAGATGTAAAGAGAAAAAAACAAGAAAAAGAATTAAGATAATTACAAAAACCAAAGCAGTTCTAAGTTTCCAAACAAAAGAAATGCAGAGAGACCTCAAAAAAAAAAAAAAAAAAAATTAGACCCGAAGAGATTACTAAGACAAAATGCAGCATGAATAAAGTTTTTTTTTTTAACTAATTTTTTGTGCCTTAAACATTTTTTTTTTTTATATGTTTCATTGATTTCATTGGGTCAATCGTATAATTAAGCATTTGCAACGTTGGGTTGTATACTGCTACTGCTACGACTACTACTTTTTAAGAAACCTATTTACAAACCTAGGAAGCTTTTCTTTTTTTTTTTGTACTACCTAAGGAAAATTTTTTTAAAGATTTTGGGGCCCTGATGGCTGATTTTTTTTTAGAGGGGGAAGGAACCTTAGACCCATTAGCCACGGCACTGACTACGACTACTACTACATTTAGGACTTCGACTAATACGACTACAACTACTACTACTGCGACTGCGACTACTACTACTAATAACTATAATTTTTTTTTGTGTAACAGGCAAAAAAAGTTGAATGAAGCTGAATCCAATATCAACAATATGGATATAATAAGAACTCATGGACAAAAAAGTAAAAACATAAGTCATCAGCAAATTCCTAAAGGAAGTACATTAAGCATTATAAGTGAGAACTTACAGTCTTCATCGTTGGATCATCAGTCTGCTGAGGTAATACATCATATAGATTTCATTTATCGACGTAAAAAAGAGTATATATAATATGTGTGCAGAAAGAGAGTGAAAAGATGCCTGAATAACATGAATTTGTTGGGTTGCATAGTTTTATATTGTTGTTTACTTTGTTACATATATGGATAGCTATAAATATCATGTTTTATGCATATTTTATATTAATTTGTCACCTAATATAATAATAATAAAAAATTATTTTAGTCAAAAAAACCGCCAATATGTGTTAAAAACTACATGGGACTTGCGATTTTTTCTCTAGTCTGTTTTTTTCCAATTGGTACTCTGGCTTTGTATAACTCTCGCCAGGTAAGTTTATATGATACATATTTATTTAATTGTTTATTTACCTTTGTGGAAAAAATGATGCACAAAACTTTTAGATTTAAAAAACAATATTATTTGTACAAAATTTCATTTGTTTTATTACATTTAACATTTTAATAAACATCATCCTTTTATTGCATGTAAAGGGGAGTCTCCACTCATTCGTTTTTCGACGAGAACGAGATAAAGAAAAAAAAAAAAAAAATCATGTGCGCATGCGTAGTTTGCCTTCGTAAAAAAATAAAACTTACACTACGCATGCCCACGTGATTAATGTTCCCTTTCTTTTCCCGTTCCCGAGAAAAAACGGATGAGTGGTAACTCACCTTTACATTTTAATAAACACGTTACATCATCCAGGGGCGTGTCTTGGGGATGTTTGCTACGTCGTCGAATTTACCCTAAAAAATTAAATAAAAGTTTTTAAACTTAATTATATTGTTAAAAAAAAAATAATAATTTTACTATATATATTATAACTATTGAAACCAAACTGCAGACAAATTATGCAAAAATAGTGCATCTAAGATGGTCGGAAAGAAATTAAAAACGGGAAAACATAATAGTATTTTGGTTTACAATTTTATTATCATTTAAAAAAACAATTTCTATTTTTTGATGGAGGTTAAACTAGTTTTTAGGTTGTTTAACTTAATTAGAAACATAAAGTGATATTTCATATCAAATATTTTCGTTATTGAAAATATTTTTGAAATATTTTATTTTAGTTTTAAATTATTTAAAAAAAATCAAAATGATTATTTTAGTAAAAAAAATTTTAGACTTCCATCTTTACATACACCCTTAGTAAATTTTTATCAAGTTTTATTGTTTAATTATCATTAAGAGGCAGAAATAGTTAGTAACAATATTACTAACAACAACTATAGAGCAATCAATATCAATGGACATCCCCAGTTTTACCACACTAGACTGCGTATCTTTTAAAAATATAAATAAGAAAAAAAAAAAGGTTTAAACATAAAAAATAAAATTTAGACTTCCCTTTCAATATTCACTCTGCCTAATTTGTTTATTTCATTAAATTTGTATTTTATTAAACACAAAAATATAGCCGTTACTTAGTTCAAAATGTCGCTTAAATTGTAAGTTTGTATAGCACTTCAAAAAAAAGGTAGTCCGTTGAAGAAAAACATTAGAGAAAACATCATTTCCTTTAAAGTGAGGCAACCAAATATTTTATTAATGGTGTAGAATTTTCAGCATCACAATATCCTTTGGGTGCAAGAAAGGAAGACAGAGTTATTACAAGAAGAAGTTGTTTATAAATGCATTTATAAAAACTAGTCTTTGCTTCTTGGATAACCAAGCAGAAAAAATAGAATGTCTATATCCAGATTTTGGACTTGATAAGTACAAATTAATATTTAGCCATGATGAGAAATATGAGAATTATTATTCCCTTCGTTTTCAAAGATCCTTACTTCTTCTTAGCTAATGAAAGAATTTTAAATTATTTTTTGCTCTTTTCAACACAATCATTTTGTTTACGTACTAAAAGCTCTAATATAAATATAAAAGAAAAGTTTTTTTATTTTTCTATAAATTTCAATGACATGTTTTTGATACAAATCTTTTAATTACATGAGTGTGAAAGCAAGTATTAATAAACTATAAAAATTTTATTTAATTATAATATAAAATATAAACTACAAAAATTTTTTTTTTATAGTTTTTTATAGAATCTTTTTCAAGCATTAAAAAATGTAGTTTCTTTACTTAAAAATATTATTATTTAACACCTTCAAATATATATATATATATATATATATATATATATATATATATATATAATATATATATATATATATATATATATATATATATATATATATAATATATATATATATATATATATATACACACGCACATATATAAATATATATATTAGGGATGTACCAAAGCTAAGATTTTATATAATATATATAATATATATAATATATATATAATATATATATATTTTTTGATTTATATTTATATTTTATAGTTTTTATTCTAATATTGTTATCAGTAATATAGCCAGCCGAGAAACAATAGGGCGCATATTTCCATTTTTTGTGATTTGGAATAATTCGAATTTCAGTTTTTAGGGCACAAATACAGACAGTTGATTTTTTTAAACTATTCGTATTTTCAAGTCTAATAGTTAGTTAAGTCTTATTTTCATCAGAAATAATAAAAACTTGTTTGAAAGGATGGTTGTGATAAAAAAACGTTGCGAACTGAACCTGGTTGTGGACGCGCAGTCTGGTTTGAACTTTTATAAACAGCGTTTTAGATGAATTCATTCGATGGAATATTTTTTAAATTTGTAAGAATAAAACTTGATAAGACCCATTGGACCGTAAACTTAAGCTACCTCAACACTTATTTCAATAACACTATGTAAAGCGTCTATTTTCTGTATAACAATATGTCTTGGCTCACAAAAATGTTTTATTTTATGAGTGATTTTTCGAGAAAATTTTTAAAGCAATCGTCATAAAAATATTTTGATTCTATAGTACACAAAAGTCGCTTAGTAATAAATTTTAGTTACATGAGATTCATTTTCAACTATTTAATCTATTATAACAAAAAGAGCATTAGGTACATCATATCCCAACCATTAGTAAGCTCTGACCAGAGTGCACTATAACTGAATTGTGTAGTCAAATGAAAAACGAGTTAAAAAATTCGTTTGTAAAAAAATATTGGTAACACTTGTAATTCAAACTTTTTATATCAAAGCAAATACTTGCTTTTATCTTGCTAATACTGTTTTAAATTTTATGGTGGTTACTTTGTTTGGTGGACCTTAATTTTTATGTAAAATGCTTCCAGTTTCTGAAATCAATTCAAATTTTCTTTTTGAACTAATTTTTTTTTTCTGCCATAAAACCAGCAGGTGGTAAGGTTGTATGTAGTTTGTGACGGTAACAGGGTAAATCATGCCTTGGGACGGTAACAAGGTAAATAATGGGACGGTAACAGGGACGGTAACTTGGTAAACTTGGGACGGTAACAGGGTAAATTATGCCTTTTTTAAGAAATTTGAGAAAGACGGCGTACCTTGGCGAACGAAAGATAACATTTATCTTTTATATAACTTTTGTGCACCTTTAAAAAATAATAACTTTAAAAAATAATAACTGAATAACTGAAAAGACTCAGGAACTTCAGTTTTATGTTAATAAGGAAAAAAAAGTTGCCAAATGATCTAACATTGTAGCATTGCATAAATAAGAATCAAATCAAATAACTAAAATGTCTTAACTTACTGATGTTACTGTATTCCTCAAACCAATTAAAAGACAAAAAGTTTTAACTTGTCTAAAAATATTTTGTGAAGAAACAGCCGGTGTCTTAAAATGTCATCCAGACCTGAAAAATGTTGATGATACTATTTCGTTTCTTTCAATAATAATTAAATTTTAGAGAACTGTTAATGTTCATAGCCCTTATGCAGATATATGTATGCGTGATCCAAACCAAGCTGCAATTTTTTGCTTCTGGCGATTTTAATCTTCAAAAGCTGTTAGAATTCAGAAACTTAGCTACAAAAATGTGTTCTGCTCAAAAAGTTCGTTGTAAAAGTTTCACAAAAGACACTTCTAAAAGTCTCTATCATACATGTAATTGTCTTGTTGAGTTGTCAAAGTTTCTCTTGTCTACAAAACATGAATATGTTTTGCTTGAAACATTTACCACTGATCCTTTAAAAAACAGTTTGGGAAAACTCAGGCAAGGATCAGGCGGTATATATTTTAATAATGTACAACAAATATTAGAGAAAGTTGGTATTATAAAGACAAAATTACTTTTGCAATTAGACAATAATGATGATAGTCTTGATTTTACTACATCAGGGCATTTTTGTGAAAGATGTGTTTTTTACATGAACGACGAGAAATGTTTGATATTTAATAACTTACCAGAATTAGAAAATATATTATCTATAGATGTTAACATGAGTCTGATTTATATAGCTAGGTATGTTGTCCGAAATAATGAAAATTCAAATGACTCATACTTTTATTATGAGAAATTAAGATATTTTACTGACGAAATTAATTGCGGAGGATTAACTGTACCTGGTGATTTTGTATGTCAATGAGTTTTATATTGCAATATTATGTTTCGTGAAGTGACTAATAATAAATGCACTTCTTCTTTGTGCAATCTAATGATGCTTATTTCAGAATCATATCAACTGAATATGAACAGAAAACATGGTGTTATACTTTCGAACATATTCTTTAAAAACTATTGTAGTTTGTTTTCAGCAAGATTTTTTTTCAAAAACAAAAAATTCTGAAACTAAGTGTTAAATAACATTGTTATTTAACACTGAGATTCAAAAAAAATCCAACATAAAATACTATTTCTGTTTTAAAAAACTTAAATAAAAATAATATGATGAAGAATGATGGTAAAGGTATTCAACTTGGTTTTACTTTGTTTTTAAGGTTAGGAAAGTAAATGATAATTTGTAAATATCTATACATAAATTTTTAAAAATTTATGTATAAATTTATCTATAGATATATTTAAAAAAAAATCTATTTAGTATTTTTTTGATTCGAAATTAAATTTCAAGTTTAATTTCATATTATTTGTGTTTTTTCTGTTCAAAAAAACTCGCCTCCAGTTTATGACATCATCCGCACGGTGAATAGGCCTGTTACAGAATACAATTTGATCTGCTGCCCTTGGTAGAAACATTATTTTACAAGTTAAGCAAGACAGATTTGAAGCTGCTCAAAAGGTTGCAGACAAAGTTAAAAACGACAATCAAATCTTGATTTTAGCTCAAACTATCTAAATATGGAATCTGAGAGCAAGGATTTCATGGCAGAGATGTCACAAAAAAACCTGTTTGACTCTAAGACATATGAAACAAAGATTTGCAAAAAAGTATGCTGACAAGACTATTGAGTACTGAAAGAAAGTAATTTGGAGTGATGTATCCTAATTTAAAC